GCCCCCCTCCCCACAGGTACCCTGTCACTCCAGCTTCTACCCTTAAAAAGAAAAGACAGAGAAGGAAACTTACCTAGATTATAAACAAGTCAAGATTTCTCACTAGCTGCTCTCATTCTGTCAATCAACTTCCAAACGTTAGAGCTAAAAGGGAGTAAAGACCAGAAAGGATGTACAAAATTCAGCTTATAACGTTCATGGCCCTCTATGTGGCATAGCCCCAAACAGGAAGCAACGCACGGGCCCATCAACAGGTGACGAGAGAAACAAAACGTGATGCGCACACGCAGAGGGACACCGCGTGGCAACGGAAGGGAGCGACTGCGGGTTTACGCCAGAACCCAGACGGATCCCAGAGACGGTGCTGGGGGACGCAGCAGACACAAAAGCCTCCGTGCTGTGTGATTCCATGTCTGTGACGTTCTGCACCAGGCAGAGCTGAGCTTTGCTGCTGGAAATGAAAACAGCAGCTGCCTATGGGGGCGAGCTGATGGGATGGGCGTGAGGGTATCGAACGGGGTGAAGGCAATGTTCGAGATCTTCATTTAGATGGTGGCTACTGGGTGGAATGGGAGTTGAAACCCACTAAACTATACACTTAAATCTCTGCCTTTTACCGACATGTTAATGATACCTCCATTTTCAAAAAATCTGCCCTTAATGGTTTTAAATGGGTCCCCAAAGACGAGACAGAAATACCCAACCGATTGGGGCTTCGCAGCTCCTTCCTCTGCTAGTTCTCGGGAGGCAGGCGGCAAAGGGGCAGGGGCTCACGGGGCACCGACCACCATTCGCTGACAGAGCATCTCAAATAGCTAGATTAAGGGCAAGGAGGGAAGGCATTTGTGTGTACTTTCCCTTCTGCCTAAGCAGATCTCTTGGCCGAGCACTCAGAACAGAGAGCGAACAACTCACACAGTTGCTATTTCGAGGCCTGAGCTTCTTAACAAATGTGGTTATGCGCTGTCTGTCCAACAGTTCAAGACCAGAGCGTTATTGTAACTGTATCAAAGGCCAGCAAAACAGGAGCCCTACCCTGGTTTACAAAGTCCTCCCTAGAAACACGGGCGGGGCTAGCAGCACGCTGGGAAGGAGCTACGGCCATGCCCACCTGCAGAAGCCCGAGGCTCACCCACGCAGTGGTGCCCCAGCAGGAACTGGAACGCAGACCCTCCGGGGCGCAAACCCCGCCCCTGCCACTTTGCTCAGCTGGGTCCGTGTAGCCACGTTCTTTTAGCCTCTCTGAACACCAAGTTCCGTCTGAGTAAGCCGGAGCCAGGCCCACTTCTCAGGAGGGTGGTTGTCAGGACTCAGCGGTGACACGTGTGGGACACTGGGCCCAGTAATCCTGCCGCAGCCTCCTGGTCCTCTTCCTTCCCTTCCTGCCGCCCCCCGTGACGTGCCCCACAGGCCCTCCCATCCTGTTCTCAGCCACCTCTTCTCTCTACCTGCCCCCTTCGGTCACCACCTGGATTCCAACAGTAGATAACATAGATGGAAAGCCCTCTTCCTGCAAAACCGACGTGAAAGACAAAATCACTGTGTTCCGGCGATTCGAACCTTCCTCCTCCTCCCTGAAAGGACTCTGTTGTGGGTTGCATTGTGTCTCCCTAACACATTCTGGTGAAGTCCCCCTGGTGCCACAGAACCTGACCTCATTTGGAGACAGGGTTTTCACAGAGGTAATCAAGTTAAAGTGACATCGTTAAAGTGGGCCCCAGCTCAGTGTGACTGAGGTCCCTAGGAAAAGGGGCAATTTGGACACAGAGACACAGACGTTGGGAGGATGATGTGAAGACAGGAGACACAGGGAGAAGGCCACATGAAGGTGGGAGATTGGAGCCAGGCGTTTACGAGCCAAGAACACCAAAGATTATAGCAACCACCAGAAGCCAGGAGAGGCCTAGAACAGACTGTCCCCCCAGCCCTTGGAAGGGACCCACCCCGACACCTTGATTTCAGACCCCCTGGATGCTTCGTGCCCCGCCACCTGCCTTCGTCTGCCTCGCCAGCGAGTCTGGTCTCTCTCCCTTCCCCAGCACACCTGGCCAGGGGCTTAGCACCATCCCCTCATCTCCTCCAGCACAGCCAGCTTTGTCTTCTGAAAATGTGACACTGGGCGGATGGAGAGAGCGTAGATGCTGGAGCTAGGGTGACGCACTGGAGGGTGCTGACTTCACCAATCGTAATAGCGTGTCCCTGGCCAGGTTTCTTCGCATCTCCACCTCCGTTTCCTCACCTGGCAGATGTTGGTAACAGGGCTGCTTCGCTGGCTTATTGCAAGGGTGAAGAGAGAGGCCTGCTCAAAGCAGCCAGGATGCAGTGGGGATAGGAAGGGCAACCGGGAAGGTCATGCTGCCGTGACCTTGCTCAAAATCCTTCAATACCCTCCATCACCTGCCACAGTCCAGATTCCTCGGCAGAGAGCAATGGGCTGTGCTGGTCATTTACAACGCCTCTTCTCGCCAATTCCATTCTTTGCAGAACCCAGCTGTGCAGGTACCCTCCTCCCATATGACTCAGGGTCAGGAGGCCCTTCCCTACAGCACACATGGCATCTCCTGGTGAGTGGTATTGGTCCAGGGGCAGGTATGCGGTGAGGCGAGGTCCACTAGAGAGGAGGATTCACCCACCATGCTCAAGGAGAAGGTGGCTATTTCCTTTTCTCCAAGTCACAAGGGGGCAGGGGGCAGCAAATGACCCACTGTGGTGGGAAGCCACCTTGCCACTACAAGGGACTCAGCGTTTGTTACAGGCTGATTGTATCCCCTCCAAATACATCTGTTGAAGTCCTAGCCTCCGGTTCCTCAGAACGTGACTGTATTTGGAGAAAGGGTTTGTACAGAGGTTTAAGTTAAAATGAGGTCACTGACCAGCGTCCTTATAAGAAGAGATAAGGACACAGACATGTGCAGAGGACAGACCATGGGAGGACACAGGGAGAAGACAGCCATCTGCAAGCTGAAGAGAGAGGCCTCAGAAGGAACTAACCTGCCAACACCTTGATCTTGGACTTCCAGCTTCCAGAACCGTGAAGAATAAATTCTGTCGTTTAAGCCACTCAATCTGTGGCACAGACTAATAATATAGCATTAGAATGAACCAATGCTGAGAAGGCCTAGAAGCACGCAGGGGAGCCTATCCTCTCTCTGGACTTCCAGAAACATCACAGGTATTTCTGTATATATTTTTAAGCCCATTTGATCTGAGGTTTTCTGCGATGTGCAGCACCCTGATGAACTCCAAGCTTTCAAATCCTTTCCAACACTGCACATTCTCCCCTCCTAACTGAAAACAAGTGCTTTCCCCCCTCCTTCCAAGGACTTACATTCTGATTATTCCCCACTCCTACCTGCTCTTCCTCTTCACCATTCTTTGGCTCCCTGCTTCCCTCTGCCCGTCTCTGCCCCCGGGACCACCATTCTCCAAGGCCCACCTCATGGGCTCCTTCTCCCCTGCAGCTCCAGCACAGTGCCTGAATACGACACAGTACTCTGGACTTCTCCCGTGGGCTATATTTCCTGCATATGCTTTTAACTTATCTGAGACTAGACCACTATCTTTACTAGATCGATTCGAACAGATGACTGAAGAAAGACTGCTGTGTGTCACTGCCTCCCAGACTGAAAGAGAAAATGCCTTCTGCAGACTGAAAAACCTATTTTCAATATGGTAAACTATGAGTCTTTAAATTCCCTGGTAACCTTCTGCCTGTCCAAGGTCATTTCAGTTTCCCCAAAAATTGCTTTTGGAGATGAGATTCATAATCGAGGTCACAGTTTTCCTTTCCACCACCCCTCCTGTTAGTCACTTATCTGAGACTCTGTCAAAAAAGAATTAGAACTATAAATGGGGAAGAATCTGATGGCAGGTGAGAAATTAATTAAAGAGAGACACCACTGCTTATACTTAAACCACAATTCAATTCAATTCAAACCGGTATCAGGAGATACACAAAACCAAAAATAAAAGAAAAACGAAACCCGAAACACCCTGATAGCCTAGACAATACCCATATTTGAAAAGCTGTGTCTTATGGGACTTCCCAGAAAAACTTCCCAATAAAACTTTTATTGAAATAATAAAAACCCTACCTTGGAACACAGAAGATTGGATGACTCACCAAGCAATATGGCTCCAGAAACAAGGAGGCCCCTATGAAGAAACATCACCTTCCTGCATTTCACTACCTCTCACTGGATGACCTCTAGTTGAGGCATCTTTATTTACTACTTGGAAGTTCCTTCTGAGAGCCAGAACAGACCCTCTGGCCAGCTCCAGGACACACAGCTCTCTGACCATCTGTGGCCCTTGACAGTTCTTTATTTTATTTTATTTTAAAGATTTTATTTATTTTTTGACAGAGACTGAGACAGCGAGAGAGGGAACACAAGCAGGGGGAGTGGGAGAGGGAGAGCGAGAAGCAGGCTTCCCGCTGAGCAGGGTGCCCGATGTGGGGCTCGATCCCAGGACCCTGGGATCATGACCTGAGCCGAAGGTAGACGCTTAACGACTAAGCCACCCAGGCGCCCCTGATAGTTCTTTATTAGGGATATCAAGAATACCAAGCACAAACTCCCAAAAAGTAATAGGAATGAGTGGGACAGACAGATGATGCCATGAACATCTAAGGAAGAAAAGATCTCTCTGGGGAGGGTGCTGAGGCTGCCTGGGGCCTGGACCTCCCTGCGGCGGGGAGGCTGGCTTAGGTTAAGGAAGGGGGCACGTCCCCAGCAGCCCCAGCTAACACTGCACATGCTTACTTTCACAGGTGCTGGCCCTAAGCACGGGTAAATGTCACGCTAGGATCACTTTAGGTTCACTGCCTGTGCCCAAGGGAGATGTCAACCCCGGTCTGTTACTCAGTGAATGTAGGTAGTGCTTATGTTTGATTCTGAACTCTTCTAGTGCTTGGTGTCTGTGTCCCCCGGGGGGGGGGGTTCTTGTTTCCTGCTGCTGAAAACGTTTCAAACCACCTTAATGGGAATTAATTATGGAAAAGACTAGTCTGAATTAGAGGCATTTTGAAAATAAATACCTTTACTTCCAAATAAATGTTTCCTTTTCAAGTAATTAACCATTATTCCAAGCAGAGGTTCAAAGGACCTACTTTAATGAGTGACTTGGTCATTAGCAACATTCATTTGTACATAAATATGCTAAGGCAGTGTTTCATAATGTGCTTCCCTAGGTAAGCTAAACGTGCCTGCTGACCCTCAGTTTACACCATTTATGCACTTAGCAAACCCTTTCTTCACAGAGGGCAAACGGGCCGTGGCCGCACTGCGATAATTCTGGTGTGATGAATCGCCCTTCTATAGCTCCTGAGCCCGCATACCAATGCTCCCCTTGTGGGTTACAAAGGAGCCAAGGTCTCACCCCGGCTGACCCGGCCATCTGTCGGGTATGGTCAGAAAATACAATGAACTTTTGTATTAGCCTCCACCAGGATTTCTCAGACTTGGCATGCTCAACTGGATCATTCTTTGCTGCGGGGGCTGTCCCGTGCATTGTGGGATATTCAGCAGCATCCCTGGTCTCTACCCAGGGGACGCCAGTAGCATCCCCTTTCTCGGCTATTTCCAGACATTGGCCAATGTCCCCTGGGGGGTATCCCCCTGGAAATCATCTAGTGAACTTTTTTAAACAACTGATGCCTGGATCCCAAGTTCCAAAAGCTCCCAGGTGACTCTGAGAGCTCTAGCCACCAACACTGCCATCCTAGATTCAGACCCGTTCAGTATGTCACTTTCATGAGAAGAAAAAGCCCTGGGACTTAAAGTTCTGAAAAACGGTGACTAAAGCCAACATATAACCCGTTCCAGAGCCCGGTAGGAATTCAAGTTTGATTAGCTGCTATTTCTTAGCTTTCAATAAACTCACTGGAATTTGACTTTTGGTCTGAGTTGACCTATGTACCACTGTCCTCTTCCTCTTCTTCTCATCCTAGAATTAAATCACCTTACCTTGCCCAGATGAGAGTAATGGCCCCTTTACTATCTGTTTACCTTTGCCATTTGAGAAATGTTAATTGAGCACCTACTAGAGCCAGGTGCTGAGGATACAGATCTGGGCCAGGAAAGCAGGGGTGGAGGATTGGTGGGTAGGGGGCGGAAATAGGGAGCCAGGAAAGGCCTTAAGAAGGTGATGGGATGATGGGGGATGGCAGGTGGATTCTGGACTGAAGGAGCACCACTTGCAAAGATCAAGTGTTGTTTGAGAAACTGGGGGCTAGAGCACAGGGTCCCTGCACGACCGTGATGGGGGCCCATGCAAGAGAAGCATGCAGGGTGCAGACAGACCATCAGGGACCTTGAAAACCAGCCAACCAGGCCTAACTTCATCCTGAAGGTCATGGATCTGAAGCAAGGAAGTAAAAAAAAAAAAGCTTTTCATCGTCAATTTAGAATCAAAATCACTGGGATTTGAGGCAAGGGGGGTAGATAAGATCAGGGGCCAGGGGCCAGATGAGAGGTCTGGTCTAGCAGGTAACCAAACACACAGAGCTAGGGCTCTGAGGAGACATCCGGGTTACAGAGAAAGATCTGCCACTGCCCTACTTAGGGTGTGTGCTGGAACTCAGATATTAGGGGCTGAACTATGTCCCCTCCCCCAAAAAACCCCCCCAAAACCCCAAAGCCTCAAATGTTGAGTCCTGACCCTTTGTACCTCAGAACGTGACTGTATTTGGAGACAGGGCCTTTACAGAGGTAATTAACTTAAAATGAGGTCATTGGGATGGGCCATAATCCAACAGGACTGGTGTCCTTGTAAAAAGAGACTAGACCACAGACGCACACAGAGGGAAGCCCGTGTGAGGACCCAGGGAGAAGGCGGCATGCGCAAGCCAGGGAGAGAGGCCTCAGAAGGAACAGCCCTGCCGACACTTGATCTCAGACTTCCAGCATTTAGACCCGAGAGGAGCTAAATGTCTGTTAGCCCCCCCTCACCCCCAGCCCATCTGTGGTACTTGTTATGCAGCCTGAGCTGACTGAGACTCTGGGGAACCATCTGAAGGGAGCAGGTGGTGGAAAGGATTCTCGAAGGAGAAGAGCAACCAGCAGAGCACAAGAAAAATCCGGAAAAGCAGCCTCCCCCCGCCAATCCCAAGGAGAGAGTGTCAAGGACTGAGCAGTCATCGGCAACGCCCTGCAGAGGTTGACCGAGACCGCCAAAGCAGTTCCAGGGACCTGGCATCAGGCAGGCTTGACACCATCTGGGGCGCAGAGACCACGAGGCCCAGCAGGCAAGGCAGGGACGCTGGGCGAAGCTGGCGCCTCCCAAGAGCACGGACACACAGACAGTGCGAGGGCCGTAGCCCCTGGGATGTGGCCAGGCTTGTGACGGGGGCTTTGCGAGGGCTCTCACGGAGGCCCACACCAACATGCGTGCTCCAGGGGCAGCATACGGCGGCCGGACAGAAGCCAAGAGGCCTGCTGTATGGGTCCTGAGGACACAGTGCCACATGGACCCAGCCTGGGCCCGGGGGTTCTTCTGCCCTGGGTCTCTACTCTCGTTTCTCCATTACAAATCTCAGATAACTCATTGTCTACTGGGGGAAAACCCAACCGATCCCCAAGGACGGACTGTGGGGGCCTGGGCAGTCGGGCCCCAAGTTCTGCTGCAGGTGTCCCCCTCCGCGCCCTGCACTAGTCCCTTCCCAGCCTGTGTTAGCTCCTCCGCAGATGAGGCCCTTTCTATCTTTCAAGACCCCAGCCCTCCTTCAGGGCCCAGCTCAAAGGCTGCAGCACCCGGCTCCCCCTGCCATGGTGGGAACTCCCAGGGCCGAGCACATACCTCGCGGGCTTTCTTGGGCCTGAGCTCTTCTGCACCCCTCACCCTCAGCTCCCGGCCCTCACACGCTCGACTCAGCTGGTCCCACACTGGGCCTAGAATCCTCCATTTACCAGCTGTCTTGGCTACACCACGAGCTCCTTCTTCAAGGCAGAGACCATCTTCTACCCATCTGTGTCACCCACCCAAGGCGGAGCAGAAGGCCTGCCTACAGAACAGATGTTCTGACAGAAGGACCAGAGCCAGGCACCACACAAGTGACTGCAGAAATCACCTCTAACGGGGGAGGGGAGGGATGAAGGGGTTGTACGAAGCAGTCTTCAAAAAGCAGAACGACACCTATGTCCACAGCAGCATTATTTCCAACAGCCAAAAGGTGGAAGCAACCCAATGGTCCATCAGTGGATGAATGGATAAACAAAATGTGGTCTATACCTAGCACAGAATATGGTTCGGCCTTAAAAAAAAAGGAAGGAAATCCTGACACATGCTACAATGTGGATGAACCCTGAGAACATTCCACCAAGTAAAATAAAGCCAGTCACAAAAGAGCAAGGACTAGAATGGCTCCGCTGAGGTGAGGTCCCTGGAGTAGTCAGATTCAGAGAGAGAAAGTGCAGTGGTGGTTGCCAGGGGCAGGGGCAGGGGGAGGCGGAGGGGGCTGGGCACTTAGCGGTGAATGGGGACAGAGTGTCAGTTTGGAAAGACGACAAAGTCCCGGAGATGGATGGTGGCGATGACGGCACAGCACACTGTGACTGTATTTCATCCCACTCAGTTGTACACGTAAACATGGTTAAAATGGTACATTTTATGTTATGTGGATTTTACAATTAAAAAAAAAAAAACTTTTTAAAAAGTAGGACAAAAACTTTGTGTCCACTGCAAACGCTCATGTATATTCATTGGAGAACAGTGGAGTTCCTCAGTATGTAACAATCAAGGGTGCCCAATTTGTAAAGCATCTTTTAAACACACAGAGAAAAAGCAGCTTTTAATCTAATCTGGGAGGAAACACTCTGTAGTGCAAATTACTATGCTGAGTGCATAACCCAGCCATAATTTAATATGACCACTGGGACGTCTGAGCTGCTTGATTCAAGCATCATCTCCTTTGCACTTCTTTAAATGATACCAAGAAATAAAGTGTGACTGTTCGCTTTTGGCAGAATTAAATTAGACAAAGGACTGACCATCCTCTCCATTTAAAAATATAAATAAATAAAAGGCAGACAAACACTTAAGTAGCATTCCTATGACTTAACATTCTTTACCACACATTCCTATGACTCAGCTGTTTGGTTCACTGCTCAGATAAGTAAACCAACTGTCTCACTTCTGGGGCAGTGTTTTCAAATGTAAGAAGGCTCCCTCCGTGGCTCCTTCTTGCTGCATACCTTGAGTGAACTAAACATTCAACACAAAACTGGCTAGGGCTTTGTGAAGCTGTTCCCTGGGAAAAACAGACGCACAAAAAGTATGTTGCACTCTGACTACAAGACATCTAGAAAAAGATATAAAACACAACCAAGGCACAGAGAAGCAGGAAAGACACTGAAAAATCAGGAAGAAAGACTTGAAGGGCTCGGGGATCCTTGCTTAGCTCTGCAGCCGTGACAGCTGGCTTTGTGAGAGACAATGGGCTGGAGCCCCCACGAGAAGCACCACCGCTCAGAAGGGCCCACATCTGGCTTAAAGCTAGGCTGTCACTCTCTTGATCTTAGTAATTTTTGGATGAGGGGTTGTGCATTTTCATTTTGCACCGGGCCCCACAAATGATGTAGCTGGTCCTGAGACCAGCAGAAAGGTTTGGAAAAACAGACACCCTGTGTGGGGTCAGGGGTGGGGGGAACGATTTGTAAAACTGTTTCAGTGACTGCCCAAGGGCTTGTTCCAAGCTCTCTCTGTGATCTGGAGCTAATAACTGAGACCATGTATCACTGTTTCTAGAAAAGAAGCCTCAGGAGGAGTATCCCAGCCAATTCCATACTAAGCTTAAGCTGCCAGGTAAGTTATATCCTGAGTCTTTGGGAAGAAAAAGAATACTTTTAAGTATGTAATGGTTCAATCATCAATGTTCAATTATTCTCGATTAACTGCCAAAAAGATTCATCTCTAATCCCTTCCATCCCAATGAAGAATAGCTACTACCACCCCCTGCCACATGGTCTGCAGGAGACCCCCAGGGCTGGGTAACCACATCCTCTACTCTGAAACCTGCCTGGACATCAGATTTGCACCCAGGAATCTGGAATGGACAGAGGAATGCAGCGCCTCTGTGCTGACCAGTGCCTGACCAGGTAAGCAAAAGCATGGGCAAAGTCAGCCTGTAGAGGGAACAAAGCTGACTTCTGGAGAAAGGGCTGAGAGCACACGTGACTCCTGACAGAGGGCGGTGGCACCAGGGCTCCTGATTCAACCCCTCCCCCACAATTTTCTGGTTTCAGATCCCACCCTAGGTTCCCTGAGCCATTCCTGCATCTTTCCTATACATTTCTTTTCTATTTTGTTAATGTAATGTGAAATTTGTTTTCCTCACTTGCAACCAAGAGTCATACGAGAGGTTTTATAGAATCTAATCCTGTGTAAATGGAGTGGCCTCAGGCAGTATTCTATTTCAGCAGTGATTTATTTTAGGGGAACCCAGCTCAATCGGTCAATAACCATTGCCCCTCTTTCCCAGAAATAGAGGCCTTGCCAATCTCTAGGTCACTTGTTTGGAGGAACATCTGCCTACACATAATGATCAGCACTGAGCAGCCTTGAGCAAATGAAAGGACAAGCCCCCAGTCACAGATGATCAAGGTCTGAAGGCTAGAGGTCAGTCACTGCCCTCTCATGACAAGTCAGCAAGGACAGCGTTCGGGGTGGGTGGGGCAGCCCTCGGGGGGCGCCTGGCCCTCTGCACGGTTTCCACCTGCCCCTGAGGTGAGCTCTCTGACGCCTGCCACCGAGGTCCAAACCTACCACCAACCCCTCTAAAATTCCACAGTTTCTCTGATCCACCAGCACAGCCAGCCCAGACTTTTTAACACGTGTAGATGGTTCTCCATCCAACGGCATGACCTCAAGTTCCTGAGCCAAAACCTCTGTGGGGGTGTGAAGCCCCTGGCAGAACCCTGCTCTCCGGTTCCTCGAGGTCGGCCAGAAAAGCCTTTTCCTTTTCAGATCCTTTGGAGTCCTGTGACCAGTGACCTGAAAACAAACAAAGCCATTACATGGTCTTGTTTATCAGACTAGAGGTCCGTTTTGGTCAGACTCCTCAGGCCACCCTGGATTCCTGCGTCCTGGAGGAAGGCACACCTGGCCCCCCACATGATGGGTTTATGGGCGGAGGGGAGGGGACAGGCACCTCGGAGTGCTCCCAGGTGTGGCCTATCGGCTCCTCCCCACCGAAGTATTTCTCAGATGACTCATTTGACTCATTCGGCCGGTCCTCACCCCCACACACAGGAGGGAGAACGGGATCTGAGATTCCCAGGTTCCTTGGGGTTTGCCGGGCGCCTAGCAGGGAGGGCAGTGGGCTCTCCCCGGCTGTTCTCATTCTAGCCTCCCGGGAAGGCGAGCGATGACCCACTCTCCCAAAGATAAAGCTCATGGAGCTGTACCTGTGACTGTCATGGCTGTTGCTAATATCTGCTGGTCCTCAGCAGCCATCAGGACCTGAACCCACTCCTGCCAGACGGAAAAGCCCTTCTTCTTCTTTCATGGTTGCAGATTCAGGTGAGCTCAGGGAGTCTCAGGGAAGACTTCGTGGGTAGAAGATGCGTCAGACACAGCTCCGGGGTGGAGAGGGGCAGGGTGCACTCTGACCACCACACAGCTGGGGTTAGGACAGAGAGACCCGGCCGAGGGCCGGAGAGCAGAGTGAGGATGAGCAAGTCCGAAGGAGGAACAGGGACGCATTGGCTGAAGGAAGGAGGAGCGGGCCAGCCAGGCAGGAGGAGCAGAGCTCAGCGCAATGTGCCCAGAGAGGCGCCCTGCCCAACCCCACCGACCCCACCCCAGCGCACAGCTCCCAACAGCCGTGTCCCTTCCCTCTCAGGCGGCCACAGGACGGCCATCCCTGACAGGCCGGACAAAAGGAACAGGGGCCAGCAAGCACCCGCCAGCGCTTGCTGGCCCCTGTCCCCTGGCGGGCCCACCCCAGAGCAGAGGCAAGAACACCCTGCAGGGTGAGGGGAGCTAGATTCTAGCCCCTGCAGAGCTGGTGGCTCTGGATAAGTCAGCGACACCCCCCACACTCACTCCAGCCTCAGTCTTCTCATCTGTAAACTGAGGACTTCGGATGAAGAGATCGTATTATATGTTAGCCGTGCCCAGGACAATTTTTTTTTTTTTACCTACACTAGGCATTTGGTAAAGGTAAAGCTGGTTGGATCGAAGTAAACTCTAGACTGATGGTTTCCTATGTCAGGGTCTTTCAGCTTTGTGCAAATTCAATTTGCACTCCCCCCTTTTGAGGAGGAGGGCAGGGAAAATGCTGGAACACTCCAATGGGCCAGTGCTGCTTCCTAGCAATAGCCCTGGAAAGAGGCTTCAGGCCCACTTGCCCCAAGTCTGGCCTGGACCTGCAGCTGCGATGTGATTTTCCACAGCTTCTCCTCAGAACCTCTTCTTGGGCTGGCCGGCCTCCTTCCCACAGCCCAAACCACCCGGTTTCCCCAGAACCTTCGGTCAGGCGACCTTTCCCCATCAAATGCTCTGCACCCTCCCCTCTGCCTCTCCACAGAGCCCCACTCCCCATCCTAGCTCCCCTTCTCCACAGGCTCTGCCTTGCTGCCCTCCATCCCAATTCATCCCCTCAGCTGACTCGGGTCATCTCACGGCTGATGTTCTGAATGTGACTCAGAGCCACCCCTCCCCACGTTCCCACCTTCACTGCCTCCTAGCAATTCTAAGCTCTCACCATTCCACAGGACCCTTGCAAATGCCATTCTCTCTCCTCCCTCTCCCACTCAAACCTAAGATCTCAACTCAGATGTCAGTTGCACTCAGAGACCAGTCAGTGTAGGCCAGGCTTTTTGTTCTAGTCTTTCATTTCCCTTTCTTTCCACACACTTAACTCCATATGTATTTAAAGGATTATTATCAGTTAAGGTGTGCCTCCCTCATTAGTCTATAAGCTCTATGGGACTGGAGCTGTCTACATCTGTCATTCTATCCCGAATACATAGCACAAAGCTTGGCCCAAAAGAGGGACTCATCTATGAAAGGAAGGAAGGAGAAAAGTTAAAAAAAAAAAAAAAAGGGAAAGGAGTGGCCTACAGTCGCACTTAGTGGTGTAAGGATCGTTTAACAACTGGATCTCTGCAGAAAACATAAAACCCCGAGGTGTAGTGTTTGCCAATTCCACGGTATAGATGCTCCCGCCATGGCTGCCCTGAAGCCCCCAACGGACATTCCTGAGTGTGCAGCTCGACGGAGAAGCGCACCCTGGCTCAGAGTCAGCAGAGGCCACGCGGCTCAAGCTCACTGCTGGTTTGTGGCAACGCTAGGACTGACGTTCAGAAAACCCATCGTGGTTTCAGATGGCATCACCTTTTGACTCAATCCCACTTTGGACTGAAGGCCAAAATGAATTGAGACCTGCAAAAAATGCTACAGACGAAAGAGGAAAAAGAGGGGGAAAAAAAAAAAAAAGGAGAAAAAAGAGGTTTTGCAGCCAGCTCAGAACAAGAAGATGCAGGAGAGGTGAGCCCCACGGCGTGGGGTAGAGCGTTGGCTCCCAAAAGATGACCAGGGTTGCTTAACAACCATTTAGCTTCTGGTCTTCCCACTGGCGTCACTACCAAATGCAGTGTTTAGAATGTCGTTAGGAGCAAGTCAAAGCCTGCATGAAATGCAGGTCGTATCCAGGGGCCTAATATTTATTTCCCTTTCTAGCAATTTATCCTACTAGTTTAATCCAAGCAAAATGGGTATCTGCGACACCAAATGACAGAGGTACCAAGATCAAAAAAATATTAGAAGAAAGTATGGGTCTTTTTCTAATATTCCGGGATTATGGAAGCCCTAAATCGAATGCAAAACCCAGAAACCCTAACAGAAAAGATTAAGTTGACTCTATACAAGCCAAAAGTTTCTGCATAACAAACACACCATAAAAAAAAAAAAAAAAAAGACAAACAAAGAGCCAGGGGAAAAACATTTACAAGACATCCAGAGAGTTAATTAACCTTCTGCTTGGAGCAGAGCACTTCTACGGTAACTTTTGTATACTCCTCCCCCAAAACACACACATAGGCAAAGGACCTCAGGAGGGCAGTTCAAAGAAAAGGAAACAAATGGCTCAAAAAATTTCAGAGACATGTTTAACCTCCTGCATGCAAATGACAACCACCACCAAATACACCTCACAGATCCAACGAGGAGACCTTTCCAAGTGTGGTAAGTCCTTGGTCAGGGAGGGTATAGGGAACAGGACCTCCAGCTTGACGGATGGAAGCGGAAATTGGTAAGATCTCTAGAGAGAGCATTTAACAACATCTATTAAAATAAAAATGTAGCCTACTTTGACCTTCCACTTTTAAGAATTTCATGCATGCCAGAATTTCATTACATATTATATAACAGCAAAGACTGGAAACAACCTCAGCACCCCCTTGGTAGGTGACTACTTAAATAAATTATGGCTTGCCCATACAATGGAATACTATGCAGACATAGTATTACAGAAGCAAAATGAGGGGCTCTCTCACTGGTGATAGGCATCTATCCCTGACAGTGGTATAAACAGGCATAGAACAATGTATGTATTATGTCATTGTTTGTGAGAGACAAATATATAAATGAAAATATACTTAGACTATTTCTAGAAGAATACATAAGAAATTGGTAACCATGGTTGCTTCTGAAGAGGGAAACTGGAGGCAGAGATGGAAGGCAATGTTACTATTACGGTCTGCTTTCTGTATCGTGTGCATGCATTATCTATTGGTCAATCTCTAAACAGAGAGCTGCATAAAGATGTTCACTGCTGTGTTGTATACACTAGACAAAATAAATCAACCACCACTGGGATGACCTGACACTGGGTTATTTTTAAAATATTACTATTGCAATGAAATTGTAATTATTTTTAATCCTAATTAAATTGTACTGAATCACTTTAAATACTTCTAGACTTGAGCCCCAGAAAAAGAATACAAATTACTTCCCAGGATATTTAAACAACTCTCAGATGTACTTACAGGACAAAAGCCAGCAATCTTTGAGAATTCATGGAGAACAGAAGAAGTGTAAGAAGACCGGGGACGAACATCCCAAACTTTATATTATATAAAGAAAAAGAAGGGAGCTTAGAAAGTTTAGCAGCTGACATTGATTTTTGGCAACATTCCAAGGGCTATTCAAGGAAGTGGTGAGCACTGGAAACCAAGGAGGATTCACTCAGAACAACGCAGGATAATGATGCAAATTATTAAGAGGAATATTTTAAAGTCAGCGGTATTGTGTTTTTTTAACCTTGTGTAAAATCTTTGACAATCTGAGCTGCCTGGGGATGCTGGTGTGGGACAGGGAACCATGTCCGGCCTCAGTTCTCCCAGAGCTGACCTCTAAGTGACTCAGAACTTTGTTAGATTTGTTTCGGAAAGGCATGGCTGGGAGATAAAATGCAGAGCTATGAATGTCCCTGGGAAGTTGAACACAGGGTTCAAGGTACACAGGTCCTGGCCCACTCTCGTACATGTTAACTGAATATCCAAGATAATGCTCAGTGTTAAGACTGGCCTTGGATAGTCAACATTCACAAAAGGAAGTAACATAATAAAAGGAAACGTTTGGAAAACTTTATAGGGTTGCACAAAAGAAAGGTGCGTTATTATTTTGAAGGCATTGAAAATTTTGGAACAAATACCAAAGACCAAGGCACAAAACAGAAATAAGCAGATACTAACAGGAGACATGTAATGACGCAAAACTATTACGAAGCAACCTAAATTGTGTGCCATGTCACAGAAGCATAGCCTGAGAAATCCTTGACAACGCAATCCCACAAAGATTTGGTGACCATGGTCTCCAGACAGAAGCTTGTCGTGTTCACTGAAAGCCTTCATGCATCAACTGTGCAGGCTTTGTTAGTGGAAGCACAGCGTCCATCCATGCTCCCTTGTAGTTAGGGCACACAGGGCCTGCCAGGCTGTGTTCTGAGTGTCATGTTTAAGAGACACTCATGCCAAGGGGAGCAATCAGCATGGCAAATTCTGTCATGTGTGGAATGGCGGAAGTAGCTGGAGATTTTTTAGCCAGGAAAGAAACTTGGGTATTCTCCGATATCTGAATACCTATTATATAAAGGAAAAAGAATCCTTCAGAGGAGCAAGCCGTGCAAATAGGCATGAGATGGCCTGAGTTATATTCACCCCAAAACGTGCTTGTCTGCATGGAGTGAGCTGCCTAGCCAATGGGGCCCTCCCTTCCCATCCTGGAAGGGGTACCCATGTCAGGGATGTTGATCAGGAGAGGAGAGAGGCTTGTCAGCCTGAAGATCCCTTTTAACTACAATAACCTGGGATTCTAACTGGCTTGGCAGTTTCAAATGTGCAGGTGCTATTACAACCTATATGTGATAAACTGTGTACTACATATGACATACATTAATGATGTATATTTATATTTGTAATATGATATATAATTGTAATAAAATACATATGTATAATATAACACAATAAAACATAATATATGCCTGGCAGTTTTCTGTCTCCCCTCCCCCCCCAACACTTAGAGATAGAATAGGACACTTATTGGAGGGGCACATACACGCTGAGGGGAATTGAATGACAGAGACATTGTGGGAGATTATTTTCAAGTGGCTAGATGATGGTATGGAGTGGGGAAAGGGTACAAAAGGCAACTTCTCGGACTCTGAACTTTCATCCACTGACGGAAGGTGACACCTTGCACTTCTGCTCTTACAAACCAAGCTGACAGGCACCTGACCTCTAGAATTACGCACCCATCACGGTATACGGTCCATATCTGTGCATCTGTGGGCACATCCAGCTGAAGCTGAAAGGCGGCCTTAGTATACGCCAAATGTGCTTAAAGAGCTCTTTAAGGCTTTTGTTATGGCATCGAACACTGTAGAAGGACAGTCCTTTATTTAGATCTTATTTGTGCGAGAAAATCAGTATGTCCTTTCTAGTCTTTATCTTACAAGAAAATGTGTCTCTAACTATTGTCCCGAGGTCTTCAGCTCCCAGCCTTGCCCTGTCAGCTACAGGTAAGCATGACAGAGCTCTGAAGCAGCCCCAAAGCATAGGGCACACATTACTGCCATCTTTGACCCTTCTGAGTGCTAATTTAGAAAAATTGGCCAGCTCTCCACTGTGCCTTTAAAGCCTGTTTCCAAGGACTATTTTAGTCCTCTCATCCCCGCCATCCGGCAGTCCCTGGGTCCCCACCACCAGGATAATGATGCTCTATCCCTCCTCCTAACTTTCAAGTTCCCCTCGCCTCTGACCCCAGGACAGAGCACCCTCTAAACACGTTTGCTTTGATCTCTATTATTCCTCCTCTACTTTAAAAAGGGGTTTAAAGTATTTGAAAATGTCACCAAATCCTTACTTGCACAGACATACAAAGGGTGTTAAAATAGTCTCTGTAGTCATTGTTCTGAATTTTTTCCATACTGGTAACAAAAAAAACAAAACAACAACAACAACAAAAACAAATGTTGCCCAGCATGGATGGGAAACAGAGTCACAGGAACACATTTGGAAAGGAGAGGCGCTGGGGCTGGGGCTGGGGGGTGTCAAGGTGAACCAAGCCTGAAGGATCTTCCCCATTAACAGCTAATCCTGTCAGTTCCCACAGGACAGATCATTTCTTGCCAGGTTGGTACATGATTAAAACAAGGATTATGATGATGTAAGAGTTTCATCTTACACATCCATGAGCTACAACTGTTTACTAACACTCATTTGGGGGGAAAAAGCACATGCACACTGTCACACTTCAGTCTCACGTTTAAACAAAGCATTTAAAACTCAGAACTGCCCAGAAGGGGAGGGGAGGTCTACACTTACTTTGAAATACAAATTAGTTATTTAAAACACAGAACGGACAAAAAACCCAAATTGCTTAATAAATGTCTCTTGTATGTTAAGAAAAATCAGAAAACACAGAGGTCTCCGGGATTGATTTTTCTGCCCGCCACACAGCTCCTCTCAAAAACCACTGCTGCTCATTTCACACAATGCAGTACCTCTGCCAGAGGGGCTCCTTCTGGACTCTGAGCAAGGCGGTTGCTCAGCTAAAGCCTCCCAGGGTCTCGATGCTTCAGACAAAAGCAGCTGCTATGTGGGAGTGGCGGTGGTCCAGGGACACAAAACAAATTCTTAGTTTCCTTCCTATACTCTAGAGATACTCCTGAAGTCCCGAGAAGACATTTGAGGGAACACTGGAGTGGCAAAATCTAAAGTCAAAAAATAGCAAATCTTTGGAGAGGAATGAGCACGATGAGAAGGGAAAGGGAATTTGCGAAAGCTCTTTGGTTCTGTGGCTCTTAACTTGGGTTCTTTCGTTGGCTTTATTTAGCCTGTTTGCAAACCCAGCACAGGATGACTGTGGTCTGCCAGAAAGAAGAACATCTGGGAATATGACATTAGTCCCATGGATAGATATTTCTTTGTGGGAGACCACTAGCCTGGCAGAAGACTAGAACCGAGGTCCTGGCTCCAGGCATCAGACCCTGAATGAGGCGAGTCTTCCAGAGCTGGCTGGCTGACAGGTCAGCGGCCTCACCTTTCTTGAGGGCCACCCCTGCCTGAATGAGGGTGACAGCTGGAAGGGTAAGGGAAGGGAGCTCAAGTCATTTGTGGGGGAGGGGCACTCTTTGCAAACGTGCACTCGGGCAGGAGTTTGGGTGCAAACTAGGAAAGGCCTTTGAGCCCCCTTAGGATTGGGAGACAGCTTCCCCGAGGAAGGCAGCGAAAAGCCCCCGCCTCACACCCAGGCAAATGCATCTCGTTTGGGGGACGGAGGATGAAGCCAATGCCAGATGCATGTACACACAGGGTAGCATCGCTTTAAGGGACCTCGGTCTGCACGGAGGGAGACCGAGGGCAGGGTGGAGGAGATCCAGGAGTGAAAGGCTCAGGAGAAGGACGCGGGGCCGGGGCGGGCGCAGCCCTTACCTTGCTGACCACGTTTTGGACGAGGCCTGTGCGGATGCCGTAGTCCCACGCGTGGCAGTCGCAGTTGGAGGCGTTGTCCCCCTTGTCCGGAGGGGACGGCAGGGGTGGCGTGTCACCCCCGTCCGCGCCGCTGCCGTTGCTAAGGTTGCCCGCGGCCCCCCAGGAGGCAGTGGAGAAGGGGGTGGTCGGGGGGCTGGTCCAGTTGGCCACGTCGCCGGCGTCCCACAGGCCGGTGGCGGTGACCCCCGCCAGCTCCGCGCCTTTGCCGGCCCCGCGGCACCAGAAGTTCGGCTGGTCCAAGAGGAAAGAGTCCGAGAACTGGCTGAAGCCGATGAACAGCGCCGGGATCCAGGTGAGCAGCACGAGGGTCTTCTGGTAGCCCCCGCCCAGGCCCCCGAGGAAGGGCAGCACCGACCCGTCGTAGTCCAGCAACAGGAGGCTCGGGGCCCCCGCCGCCGCCGCCGCCGAGCTGCAGCCCGAGTGCGGGCCGCCGGCGGCGGGATGCGGCGCGGGCAGCGGCTGGATCTCCCCGCCACCGCCGCCGGGGCCCGCGCGTCCCCCGAGGGGCGCCGAGGCCGCCGCGTCCCCGGGCGGCAGGGAGCCGTTCTCCTCGGCCGGGGGCGGCTGCCGCCCGGGCCCGCCGCCCGCCGCCTCGCGCCGCCGGTCTATCGCCATGGCCGGGGCCCACGGCGCCCGCAGAGGCGCATAGAAGCGCGGCGGAGGCTCCCGCGGGCGCCCCGGGCAGAGCGCGCCGGGCCGGGCGCCCGCAGCCGCCGCCGCCGCCGCGGAGGAGGGCCCGCGGCTCGAGAGAGAGCGCTCGGCCGCCCCGACTGCTTCAGTCCGCCCCCATGTCACCGGCCCCGACCCTGCGCCCCGAGCGCTGCGGCCCCGCTCGGGCGCCGGGCAGAGGGCGGGCAGAGGCCGGCCCGGGCCCTCAGCCGCCGCCGCTCATCGGCTCCGCGGCCCGGGCGCCGGCGGCCGAGGCCGCCGCTCTCCGCTGCTCCGCGCCGGCCGCAGGAGGAGGAGGAGCGGGCGTCGCGCCTAAGCCGGGCGGCTCGGTGCCCTGCGGACAGCTGTGCGGGCGGCGCGGGCGGCGGTGCGGGCAGCGTCCGCTTCTCCCCGGGAGCCCGGGATGTATTTATCCGGCCTCGGGCGCCTCCCGGAAGCCGCGAGCTCGGGTCCCAGGCTGCCGAGCCGGCCGCGCTCTCCGGCTCCGCGAGCCGGCCTCCCTCCTCCTCCTCCTCCTCCCCTGTCCCCCGGCCCGCCCCCTCTCCCCCCGCCGAGGTGGAGGTAACCGCGGCACCTGCTGCGCCCTGCTCCTGCGCGCGAGCGCCCCCTCCAGCTGGGACGCGCCGCCGCCGCCGCCGCCGCCGCCGCCGCGGGATCCGCGGGAGGGGGCGGGGAAAAGGGACACCCCGCGCCTGCCTGGCTGGAGGATCCCCTGTTGTTCCCCTTCCGCGCCGGGCGAGGCGGAGGAGGAGCAGGCACGCGGAGCGGGGGGCGCGGGTGGGCTGGGGGTCCCGGAGGAGTCGGCTTGAGCGCCAAGGGCGTGAGAGGGGTTGTCTTCGAGGCTCGGCTCCCGAAGCCGCGAGGGGTTTCCACCCACCCCCGTGTGCCGGGTCTCGGTGACCTCTGCTCGCTTCAGAGGCGCCCACCACCCGCTGTCCACACCCCACTCCCGGTCCTGAGCCCAAAGTCGCTAGCATTCGGGAGCAACCTCCTCGCACTTTTTTCGGGGTTCAGATAATGGTTGATTTTTGTGTCCGCGGAGCAGTGTCAGGAATGCGCATTGGCCAATTGCAGGTCGCTGGTCACCCGCAGTGTCGGGTCACCGGCGACCGATCGCGGCACCTAACTCCCAAATCGCCATGTCTTCCCCACTCCAAAATGCATGCTGTGTAAGTACAATGCTAGAAGGATACATCGTCCGCACGAGTTATACTGTATACACATAAACGTGAATGGTGATGGTATTCCCCACCCCCTCCCCAAGATCTTGAATTCACGTTTCGAACGCCAAGTGCACAGGCGCACACATCTACATCCACACACATGAAGACAAACCTCTCCCACCTCTCCCGTGCTCCAGCTCGAACCTTGCCCAGCCAGCACTATATAAATAACACCAGCCCTGCGGCAAACGGCTGCATTAGCATATTTCCTCCTGCACCCGGGCCTGGCAGAAATGAGAATAGCGTGGCACCTTTCACCCCGGCGTCCCCACATGTTGGAGACATTTCACATTCTGAGAAGTTTATTAATGGAAGTCTTAGAGCGATCCATTTCCAGTATGATTTGGGGGGGGGGGATGTGAAAGGCATGCTTTGGCTTTACAAAGGAATACACTCTCAGCTACGCATACTGAATGTATTCGTTTGCATTTCAATTATTCGCTTACATTTTTAACCTGCAGTTCTTTTTTGTTGTGGGCATCAGGTGCTTACTACTAAAACACTGGCACATCCGCGAAAATTATTTCTGAAGTCTGTTAGTGAGCTGGGCCTTGGGGATGGGAGGAGGTCATGAACTTTTCTGAGTAGCTGAGAAGGGGAGATTAGATAATTGTGGGCCAAAGGGGCCCATGGGGCTGCAGAAGATACCAAACCTCTGAGAAATGGGTCTCCAAACCCGTACATATTTAAAGAGCTTTTGGGGGGGTGATAGGGCACATTGTATAGTAATGATTTATTTTCCAAGTTCATATTATTTATTACCTTGATTTTTTTTCTTTTCTCCCCTCTCTCCCTTAGAAGAGATAATAAATACAAAGTGTTTACCTTGCCCAGAACAGAGAAAGTACTTAATAAATGTTAGCTGTGCCTTATTACCACCACAATTACTATTCTATAAAATTTACATTTTATTTCTGAATTTAAATATAACTTTACAGATATTTATTTCCTCTTCAGCGGCTGATTTTTCCAGTAGAGTTCTAGTTTGTGTTGGGTTCTACCTCTGTACCCCAAGGACCAATCTGTTTTCTTAGAACTCATCACAAAATAAGCATTGCCAGTGACCTTGATGGTCATTCCAATCATCATAATAAATAATATTGAACTCTGCAGGCTTAGTTTTCAAATACACACTCTCATTCGGTCCTCGTGAAACCCCCAAGAGGTGGGTCTCCCAGTTGAGGCTCCAAAGGTTAAACGTCTACCAGATCAAAGAGTTGGCCCACAGCAGAGCCCAAAAACGGGCTTTGAACCCAGACCTTCTGACTGGGCATTCCAGGGTGTCTCTATTTTAACATGCAGGGACAGATTATAATACCATAGGAAGAGTTTGGGGTTTGGGGTTTTTTTTTTAATTTTTTTGAAAAATTTTATTTTTAAGTAATCTTTACACCCAATGTGGGGCTCAAACTCACAACCCCGAGATCAATAGTCGCACACTCCACCAACTGAGCCAGCCAAGCACCCCAGGAAGGGTTTTAAGAGGTATTTGTTAATATGCATTTTTAGGTGGGAGAAACCCTAACCCTGGGGTGAAGTTTCATTGCCAAGCTGCTATTAGTCCTTGTCCCAAAAAGGTGATAAAAATCCTCAAATGGGGGGCAGTTAAGTTTAGTCGGTTAAGCATCTGCCTTCTGCTTGGCTCGGGTCATGATCTCAGGGTCCTGGAATAGAGCCCTACATGGTATCCCTGCTCAGTGGGGAGTCTGCTTCTCCCTCTCCCTCTGCCCCTCCCCCAGGCTTGTGGGTGCCCTCTTTCTCAAATACATAAATAAATAAAATCTTAAAAAAAAAAATCCTCAAATGGTACAGTCCCAGAATTAAGAGAAACACTAGAAAATGGTACCCTCTAAGATCCAAGCTAAAAGGAACCAACATAAAATGTTTGCAATTAGCCATCTGCAGTGCTGACCCAGCCCTGACTTACCTTGTAATTAAGTTCCTGATTAGATTAGAGGTTTGACTAAATCCCTCTCAGATCAACATGTTCCCTGCCCCAAATGTAGTCAAGATCAAAAAGTAACTAATTTAAATTAAACTGGGCTTCAATTCATTAAGACATATCACAAATGACTTCTTGGAGGAACCTAGAATGCAAGGAGTGAAGAAGAGGAATTTTAAACTCTGATAACCTCCAGGGTAAGTATTTAGGTTCACCAGCTAGTACGGGGCAGCCTATCAGGCACCCGCTATCACATTACCCTCTTTTCCTTTTCTGGGTGTAGCTATCAAGTGCTAGTTTTCTCATTTACCTCTTTATTTACTACCTCCTACATCTAGACAGGTCCTTCATATTTGTACTCAGCTGTATTTCTGGTGCCTAAAACAGTGCTTGGCACATGCAAGGTGCTCAATACACTCAAGACACTCAATCTGCTGAATATCAGGTTATTATCACTTGCTATTATCATCAAGGTTCCTACAACTCTGTTTACTTTGATTGTTAAGTCACCAAGCAACCTTTTCCTATTTGCTTAGTCTCTCAGATACAGTGCTCAGATCAGCCAGCATGAGAATCCATTTGAACAATTATATTTCTTATTATAAGTTATTGTGGTCAATGGGTTAGCTCCCTGTGTGAAGTTCTTTTTTTTTTTTTTGCGCGAGAGAGAATGAGAGACAGAGAGCATGAGAGGGAGGAAGGTCAGAGGGAGAAGCAGACTCCCCGCTGAGCAGAGAGCCCGGTGTGGGACTCGATCCGGGGACTCCAGGATCATGACCTGAGCCGAAGGCAGTCGCTTTAACCAACTGAGCCACCCAGGTGCCCCCCTGTGTGAAGTTCTTGTGCACGGTTATCAGCTTGCATACGATTGGCCTGGAAGCCAAATGCAGCTCACAGACCACACACAATGTTCCCAGAAAAACAATTGTCAACATTTGAAAATTGACTTCATTGTCCTATCTTTAAAAACCTTTCCCTTTCTGTAGCCCTTCGGAGCTCACATCTGTGAGCATGTATCTGTGCATTTGTGTTTTTTATTTATACTTGAAATGAATTAATAAAGCTGATTTTATCTTTAAAATTTACTCTGTTGAACTTTTGTTACTTAACACTGTGAAGAAGCTGAGCCATTCTCTCTTGCTTTGAAAGCATGTTAAATAATCTATCAGTTTGTAATCTCCTAAAAATTGAGAAAATAAAGAAATGAAAGATACCACCTAATCACGAATACACTTGAACAATTTTATTTCCTTGAAGATAACAGGAGGAAAAAAAAAATGTAGCTTACTTCTAAAGTTGATAGAAATCTAATTTTAAGTCCTCCATAATTCTGTAAAAGTGAGTTCCAAGGAATTGATTGGTGTCAGGGTTAATTAACTTAAAATGTATAATACTAGTCATAGCAAATGGATTTCACATTAGTTTTACTTGTATGTTCACTTTTTTTAAAATTTATTTACATTATTTCTACACCCAACATAGGGCTTGAACTCACAACCCTGAGATCATGAATAACACGCTCTTCTGACTGAGCCAGCCAGGAGCCTCTATATGTTCATGTTTTTTATTTATACTTGAAATATAGATAGATACCACAGTTTGGAATATCATGTGTCTTTCTTCTTTCTTACCACAGTTTGACCTCTCTCTTTCAAGTAGTTGTTTGAAAGTAGGTTATCTTGATTTGGGTGGGGGGTAGGAAAAAGTGATATGAAATTACTTCAAACTCTAAATGTGTATACTTGAACATTACTTACATCATCCTTTGACTTTTGGAATGTTAACTCTGACTTTCAAACAGGGAATTTGACATTTACAAGACCTATCATAAACGAAAATGAAAAAGCTACTTTTGTTCGGTGGCAGAAGTAATAAAAATGTCACGTAATCTATCCAAAGGAAAACTACAGGTAATATCTTAAGAAAAACTTACTCAGTGAGTACTGCCAAATTCATCCTTCCTGATCAAAAGGCCAAGTAAAAGATATAACAAAATGAAGATAAGACTTCCACGCAAAAAGCTATTCAATTGTGTGATTGATAAGGCCAAATTACTTTTAAAACCTTGGTCAAAATTTAATTTTGAGCTCCTTTAATTGAGTTAAAAAACAATTAGTATAACAAATCAATCTAGAATTTGATGTTGGCTTCTGTTTGCTAAAAATCACAGATGTCACATTTGCCTTATTGTGTTTAAGAATGATCTTTGTCACACACACACACACACACACACACACACACACACACACAGAAAAAGGATAGGTAGGATACCAGGACTGACAGATGAACATTATATGTTTCATTCCAGCATAGAAACAGCCTCTGTTGCTTGGGAGAATCAT